ATCTCGAGATCATGTCTCGGTTGTAGGACGTTTCGACAGCGCACAGCACGAGACACCACAGCCACCCTGTCCATAGTAAGTCCGGTTGGAAGGGGAGGTAGGCAGCAGAAACACAAGCGTGAACCACACTGACGTCTTTGACAACCGAGAACAATAAAGTGAATGCTACACAGATTGGGGCAGCCAGGATTTGTGGTGTGCTTGTCCCAGGCTAAAGGCCAAAGGCGAAAGAGAAGAACTGTCAACTACTGCATCTTTCTGGAGTCAGGGGTCCCAGGGGAGAGATGTTTGATGCATTCCTGGGCATGCTGACGGCATGTCCTTCTTTGGGAGAAACACGAGGCGTGCCCAGGACCTGGGTTCTGGGGCTTTTGCTCACTGGAATGAAGGAAGGGGGATGATTGCCTAACCACCTTCCCTGGAGACTCTCTTCTACAGAAGGGGGATTTGAAAGCAGCCAGCTATCCCTACTGACTTTTCCAGCAGTCCTATGACAGTAACTCCACCGTCACCTGCTTCCAAGTGGCTCAGTCCTAAACCACACAGCCTCCCCAACTCTAGGCTTTTCCTCAAGACTCTCTTCCTTAGAGGAACAAACTGCAAATTCCCAAGTGGACTGTAAATGAGATTCTCTTCGTCTCCTGCAAGACTATTCATGATCCTTGCAAAACCCTCAGACAGGACAGGATGGGAGAGGCGTCTGAGCCTCTGATTTGCTCCAATGGTCGTAATGGCTGGATGTGGGGGTTGGGGAGCAGTCATCACTGTCTGCTGCATTTTTGGACAGGAGCCTAGTAAATACCTGAGAGCTGGGAGAACTCTGGGCTGCCTCTGCTTGGAGTTGTAGGTGGAAGTCTACATCTCTCCATCTGGCCCCCGAGGCTCTTCATCACCATGCCAACCGACACTGTGTGCGGGCCAGTGCATGGGCAATTTGGGCTTGAGGATATGGGAGCAGATGGGAAACAAGTACCCCAAACCCACGGAGAGAGACATGGGCTGGGCTGCTGCGAATGGAGAAGTGGAGCCAGGAAGATTTCAAGTGGATACCTGGCAGTGCCCAACTCTTTCTAGACCAGGCTAAGTCTGTGACTCTCACTCATGACTCCCCAAAGCTGTCCTGTGTTAAGCAAGTCAAGATGCTGGAGCTGCCTGCCTGTGACTGGCAGACCCAAAACTAGAAAAGGCAGGAGAATTATAACACCTGACTTAAGGTCACAGAAGCTAGGATAGGGAGGAGGAGGAGGAGGAGGAGGAGGAGGAGGAGGAGGAGGAGGAGGAGGAGAGAGAGAGAGAGAGAGAGAGAGAGAGAGAGAGAGAGAGGAGAGAACCTATTTTAGGGAATCTCTTGTTTCATGAGAACTTATGCATGGATTCTTGGTCATGGTGAATACTCATTTTTGCTGGACAGCAATCAAGAACGCAGAAGCCATTGTCCTGGAAGGGCCCCTTTCAATTGATTTGTTTTCATTGCTTGCAGCTTCCTCCACCTAAACACAAACAAGAGTAGTCCCAGGTCCTTTTTGTCCTAAAAGATGGACAAGTTCACTTTCCAGAACTTAATCTCTTAAAAGCATCTACAAGAGGAACTAAGTGAGAAGATGCTCTCGTTGCTGAGGCCTCCATGACCCCCCATGGCTCCTGAGGCTGGAGCATGTTTCAGGCATCTGTTGAGTAAGAGGTTTGCTGTCAATGTTCCTATGCCTGTAACAACAAAATATTAAGGAATGAGGAAGAGACCTAAAAAGGGAGATGGCAAACAGTCAGAGAGCAGGGTTCCATTGAGAGCTCAAGGGCACTTTCTTACCTGGAAACCCTCTGTCCCAAGAGCAGGGTCTGTGGGAACGTCAAAGAGACCAAGTGATCCGCTTGGATTCTAACACTGTGGCCAGGGGCTAAGAGAGGGCCAACCAATCTCAGAGACATTGATTGCCCAGGATGCAGGAAAAGGGGTTCAAAGACTGAAGACAGGCCACATTTGCCCAAGCCTCACACAGGCACCCAGGGCCTGGGAGAGATGCCTAGAGACCAGGCTTTCCCTTACAGAATGCACAAGGTGGCCTCCGGGCCCTGGAATCCTTGGCAGAATATGCACCTGGCAGGAATCTTTTGTTAGTATATAAATGGCTGAGTAACAGCTTTAATGCAGCATCTTGTGTGTGGGGAGGGGGGGAATGCATAGATATTCCTGGGAAAACTGATCAGAGAAAAACAATGAGCAGAGGCAGTCTGACCAAGTGACCAATACCACCCTTCCTGGGGACAGCAGAGAATTCAAGAAATGCTATCTTTAGAGAGAAAAAAAAAAGGAAATTCACATCTTATGCATGTAGAAGTTCTGGTGTGTAGCTCCTGCATCAGCTTAGAGGAGTTTTGTTTTTCAAGACAGGGTTTCTCTGTGCAGCCATGACTTACTCTGCAGACCAGGCTGGCCTTGAACTCACAGAAATCCATCTACCTCTTCCTCCTGAGTGCTGGGATTAAAGGTGTGCTCCACCACCTAGCTAGTCTAGACGAGTTTAAGGATATTAGCTCTGAAGTTGAGTTACCAAACACTGCTTCCTGGCCTCAAGGTTTCTGGAGAAGGGAGTATAAGAAAGTCACCTCTATTCCAGGACCTACCCAGGGAGATGTGGAATCAGGAGGCAGGAGGTTCTAGAAGAACAAGAGGAGAAAGGAATCTTGCTTTTGTCACTGTTATAAAGTGACTGTTCTGGAAATAAAGCTGGGGCAGAAAAAATCCTGGTTCAATATAAACTTAAAATGTCTTGTTATAAGGTAACAAACCATATGATAGAGTGGTGCACACTATGGTGGATCATTGTTGCCTGGAGATGGTGGCAGAGATTTGATGAGACGGCCAGAGAAATAAAGGAGGGAACAGAGTCTGGAGGGCCAGATGGGAGGTGGTGGTCCAGGGATTGGGGGAGATGAGGAGGACATCCATGGGGGTGTGATGATAAGGTCAATCATAGTGTGTTAAACACAGCGATGACATCTATAACCAGACAAATTTGCTAAATGTAGAACCTCTGAGTTCTTCGTGGCTGGTTTTTCTAGACTGTGATCCAATGTGGCCGTGGAATTTTTTTTTTTTTTGGAGGGGCAACATGAGCAACGGAGGTTGTTCAGAGAGAAGACTAGGTAGGTGTTCAAGTGACTGTCATTCCCCAGCTGTAAGATGTCAACAAGTTTTGCTACTCTATCTTAAAAGGTTGACTTGTAGATCGAATGAAACATTCCAGGAAATTTTTGTTTTGTTTTTGTTTTTTGAGACAGGGTCTCTCTGTGTAACAGCTCTGGCTGTCCTGGAGTTCACTCTGTAGACCAGGCTGGCCTCTAACTCAAAAAAATCTGCCTGCCTCTGCCTCCCCAGTGCTGGGATTAAAGGTTTGCTCCACCACCATCCTGCTCCAGAAAATTCTTTTTATACAATATGTTACATATGTTAACTTCCAGCGTCACTGCTATGAGAAAAGCCAAAGCTGATCCCTATGGAGTATGTAGGCTTTCATCTTCCATAACCTCTTCCAGAGGCTCATGGGACTTCAGAATGCCCTAAGGTGTAGGGTGTTGAGATTTCCTCTTAAGCTTTTTTTTTTTTTCCATGAGAGTCAGCTTTTCCATGATGCTCTGAAAAGTGATTCATTTAGAATAGAAAACCCCTCCACCTGACTGATAAGGCTTTCAAAGAACGGCTTCCATTCATTCATTTGACATAGATTGTCCATCCCCGAACTCAAACAACGGGTATCTTATTTTCTGAAATTTGAAAGCCTACCCAGAGCGTTCCCATGACAGACCCTTCACGGCTCGCCTTCAGAGTCCCACTGTCTGGAAGCTCTCCCTTCTGTTTAGCCCCTGTCGGTTTCTTAGGGTCAGTCATCAGGAAGAAAGGGATTGAATTTCTCCCGTTCTAACGCTCTAACTGAGAGATGATAACTGGACTCTCGTCCTTCACTGATCGTCTGTCTGGGTCTTTATGGGCAAATCACTAGATCTTATTTATCCTCCCTGAGCCTTGGCTCCTGACCTCCCGGTCCCTTCCCGAACTTCCTCAACCTTACTTTCCCTGACTACTGTTGGGTGACGTTGTGGGTATTTGTGTTCCGAGCACTCTTACATTTATTTATTCAAACATCTTCCCACTCAAAGGAAGAATCCCTATCGACCCCATCACCTTGCAGCATCTGGTGCAGTTTGGAGCATGTGTTATGGTAGAGAGTAAGTTTTATCCACATTTTTCTATAGTGAGTTCTCACTAGCCACCCACAGTTTCAGTTCTTGGGGGTGTACTTTGTGCCTGTTTCATTCCTTCACATCAGAGTCTCGCTGGCAAGGGAGGATCTGGGGGTGCAGAGACTACAGAAGCTAAGGCAAAGCCAGCTGGCATGAGATCGCAATTAGCCAGGAACGTGCTCTTTTGCGGTGGTTAAGCGGAACACTGGGTAGGAGAGAGGACGCAATTCCAGCCTCTCCTGTCCCCCTGTGCTTATCCTAACTGGTGGAGTCCGGCTGAGCACAGTCCGGCTGCAGCAGAAACTTGCCGGCGATTTCCCAACGGCGCGCCGAGAACCGCTCCCCGCAGCTCGCCGCGGGCGTCGGGGTCTCGGGTCAACTCAGGTGCGGGTGACGCACCTGGCGGAGGCGTCTGCAGCCGACTGGGTAGAACCACAGCGGCGGCAGGGGTGGCGGATACATCACGGATCACCGCAGGCAGAAATGTGGATCTGTACACACGAGATCATGGAAGACTGCCCCACGGAGGTCAGAAGCCTGCGCCTAGCTGGGGCCGCAGGTCTTGGACCCTTTCATAAGGTTGGGTCTCCTAGGCGACAGCGCAGTGGTTGATTCCAAGTCAAGAAGGTTTCAAGGCAAGAGAGGGCTGGATCTGGCTGGCGTGGCTAAGGCAAGGGTGGCCCGGGGCGTGGCCTTATTGGGGCGGTCCCTTGTAGGGGCGGGGCCTTATGGGGCGGGGCCAGGTGCTGAGCCGTCTCTGCTTGTCAAAAGGCGGCTGCCGAGCCCCAAACGCCGGGAGCGCCAAGCAGCGTGTCCACCCGCCAGACCAGGTGAGGATCGGAGAGCATTGGGAAGTGGGTCCTGGGTGAGGGATAAATTCGAGGGCGAGCGTCTGGGATCCAGAGGTCTGAGTGCCCGGGCGTAAGCACTAGAGTCAAAGTCTCGGGAGCAAAGTTGGTGTCTGAGATCCGGACTGTGGTGCCATGAGGTTGGGTCTCTGAGAGGGCACCCAGGTCTGAGAAAGCTGAAATTCATGTGAGTCTGGCGAGGAGGTAGCCACCTCCGTGATGCTCCGACGGCTCAGCGCACGAGTCCTTCGCTAAGACGGTTCTCGGCACTGGACAACAAGCGTTTGTTTCCTTCCTAGGACCGGCGCTTTGGCGTGGAGTGGAGGAGTAAGAAAGGGAGTGATTGACTGTCAATGGAGCTAAGGTCTCTGGGGGTGGAGTGTGTGTAGCCTGTTTATTCCCATGTAGGGCTCCTGTGTGATCACCTATAAGAACGAAGTGAAACCTTTTAAATGGAGTTTTCCTTTCTTGACTTTCTAAAACCGCCGGCGCTTTGAGACCTAGTGTACTGGATTTCTTTTTCAGAAGAGCCTGTCCACGGATGTCCCGAGGAACTCGGGGACCGACGTGGAAATTGAGGGAGGGGTTTTAAGAAACAGGTTCTGTTTGGAGAGTGAGGAACCTTGAATTCCGTGGTGAGTGAGAACCGGAGGGAACTGCCTGTGATCTCCAGGTCCACGGTCTCCACTACCACTGTCACCCACCTGAGGTTGCCTTGCTGTCCTGGGGGGGAGCCTAGGTTCCCTGATCCTAGGCCACACTCCTCTTCCTCCTCCTGCTCCTCCTCCTGCTCCTCCTTGTGGTGAGTGAGTCAGCCTCCTGTCTGGGCTCAGGAGCAGCAGAAGGGCCAGAGCCCAGGCAAGCAGTTGGGCAGGCATTTTCTGAGAATTCTAGAAGTTCCCTTGGACAGGGTTCAGCTCTGCCCAATTGCCCTGTCTTATTCCTGGACATCGGAGGTGGGGGAGTGCCAGCAATGGTTGTTTTATGGCCATGGGGTGATTACAGATGGCCACGAAGAAACTGTGACTAGTCTCTGGAATGGAAGGTACATCCCAATACTGTGGACTTACCGGCTACTGATTCCTTTTCTACCGTGTAAGCTACCCATCTTGCCTAGTAAGGCAGGCATACACGAGAAATCAGAAGGTTTTGCGAACAGAAAAGGCAAGGAATGCTTTCCCCAGGCAAGGGAGTAAGAATGGATTTCTGAGAGGCAGAGAGGGGTTGTCTGGACCCAGGATCCTCAACTCTGTGAGCTAAGGGTATTTTCCATTTGGGGGACTGTCTCTATTCCTTCCCCCAGCTGAAGACTGGAGAGAACTGTGTGGATCTCTCTGGAATAATTTTCAGCACCGGCAAGCAGCCAGAACAGGTAGTAAGAGTCAAAGTCTCTGCTGGCTTTGTTTTGGATACAAGAGACCCTTGGGAAGAAATCGGTGACCTGGCCCCCACACGGTAGCCTCTTCTAGCTTGTTTGAGAAGAACCCAGGGAGGCCAACACTGTGACATTGACTCAAACTGCAAAAAGAAGGAGTCCACATTCTGTGTTCTGGCAGAGTCTCATGGCTTTAGGTTTGGCTGTGCTTGAGTAGCCGTGACTTGGTTCCTGACCAAGAGGGAGAAAGGACTAGGAAAGGAGAGAAAGGAAGAGAGCCAGGCAGCCCAGCTGACCCCTCACGCTTCTCCAGATACAATCATAAGACTGGATATTCTGGAGGCCCTGAATGTGCCTGTGCTTTGGGATGCTCCACTTACCCGTAATGTGGTTTCTCAGTCTCCCTGCCTGTCTGTCTCTGACCTGTTCTCTCTGATGGACCGAGTCACTTAGGAAGCCCACAAAGACCTCTGCCTTCAGCATGGATTGCAGGTATCCATAGCCTGGGCCTCCAATAGAGGAAGGCCTAGGGAGTGGTTCTTAAATTTCCTAATGTTGTGATCCTTTAATATAGTTCCTCATGTTGTGGTGACCCCAACCATGAAATTATTTCATTGCTACTGCTTAACTATAATTGTGATGCTGTTATGACTTGTAGTACAAATATCTGAATATCCGATATGTGGGGGTCCTGACCCATAGGTTGAGAACCACTGGCCTAGGGCCTGGTGGGTTAGACCAAGAAATTATCCAAGATAGGATAATTCTGTTGTTCAGTTTTTCACCCTATATCCTAGGAATTGGCTAAGACCAGTCTCTGGTTTGCTGCTGTCTATACTGAATAGCAATGCCAAGGTACCTGGGGCACATTCTAATTTGTAACTGGATAGTGGATTAGAGGGCTCAAGCTTCCGCTTGTCACTGCTGAGAGTCCATTCAGGATGCAGGTAGAGGGAATAAAGACGTAACCAGATTTGATTAAGAGCCTCGTGTGTGCCCTAGCGTGGTGCCAGGCTGCCAAGGGATGTCAGCAAGCAGATCCCAGCAAACCAGGCTTCAGCCTCCAAAAAGAGCCCCATGGGGAGCAGCAGCCTGGCACTATCTCCACTGCTGTCCTGTGGACGGGATTGAAGCCAGCCCAGCAGCTGCTCTAGACCACCAGGACCTATTGCTTCTAGCTGCTTCTTTCTGATGTGTTCTTAGTGACTGTATGATTTACTGTCCAAACTGAGATGCTCATGAGTTAAAGGGGAGGTTTGTGCATGGCCATGTAGAGACATAAACCCAAACCAGGGCGAGCTGAGGACCTCATCATCCAAACCAAGGAGAGGTCACACAGAGTGATTAAGGGACAGGAGGGTGGGAGAGACTTAATGCTGAGGTGAGAGGGTGAGGCCACATAATTCTCAGGCAACCCCAACACCCCAGCCTACCCTCTGGCCTAGTAAGCCATTTCCAGTCCCTTCCTCAAGGGTAGAATTGCTCCTAGTCACCCTGTCCCAAGACGCAGCCTATCACTGAAGTGACATTCTTTCATCTTTCACTTGTGGCTGGCCTTAACTTTGGATTTTCCCATGTCACCCCACCTCAGACAGGGATACGAAGACCTGTGAACTCTTCAGCTTCCCCAGGGGAACTGGGGGGTGTGGGGTGTGTGGAACTTAGTGAAGCAAAGACTCTGCCTTGTGCTTTCTCTCCCCCCTTTCCTTTAGACTCTTCCCTGTCCTTCCAGTTTCTCAGATCTCTGGGGACTCTCACGTCCCACATAGAAGTCCCGTCTGAAGTGAGTACACAGCCAGGAAGGCAACAGCAGTCAGACCTTGTCCATGTAGATAAAGAACACAGGTCACTTGGAATCAAGATCTAGGGAAATGACAATCAAGATAGGAAGAAGAGCCTGGGAGAAGCTCCTGAGCAAGGCATGGAACTGATGCCCTTGGATGCTAGCATTTGTGTGTCCCGACTGTTGGAGAAATGGTCCAGGGTGGGGACAGACACGTCTTGCTCAACCTAAGCGATAGGCGTTGGCGGCAGTAGCAGCATCCTGTGGTAGTGACATGTGGAAGAGAAACTGCCCTCCGTTCTGAGTCCTGGGCCTTGTGGTCCCAATACTCTGGGCAGCCTCTCTGGAGAGTCCCCAGAGACTGAGCATCTGAGTGATTATGGTGAAAGACCTGAGGGGGCGGAGCCTCCGTGACTGTGGAATGACTGTCTACTCTGGCAAGCAGAAAGTCATCCCTTCTCATCACCGCAAAGGAAAAGAGCGAGTAGGACCTCTTTGGAAATCCCACCTGCTCGTGTGTAGCCTGGCTGAGGGAGAACAGGGTGGCTGGCCGGCCAACGGCAGAGGCTAGAGGCAGGAGCCGAGGGAACTGTGAGAGGCTGAGTGTGCTCCGTGCTTCTACAAACCTGCCCTGCAGGTCTCATGCCAAAGAATAGACTAAGCAATGTTCCCAGAACCAGATGCCACACAAAGTCCTCATTCTGCACAGGGGAGAGTCCTGGTCCTTAGCAGGGTGTGAGCAGCTGTACCAGCGGGAAAGTGGAGTTTGGGCAGGACCTAGTACCAGTTCCTGGGAAGCTACCGCCTCTCACTGGCCTTCTGATGCCAAGCTGAAGCCTTGAGGAGCTCTGCGCAGTGTGACAGTCCAGGCACGGTGGAGCCCTCCAGCCTTTGCTGGTGACAGGTCTGGTGTGTGCCACCTGCTGGAGCCGGCGTCCTAACTCCAGCAGCAGTAGCTTGCTGAGCACTAGACACCGGATGCTATTCTGTGTCCTTAACAAGCACAGCCTCCTGGCCCTGCCGCTCTACCTTGTTACGAAGGAGCGACTCCTGTGCCCAGTCTGTAATGGGGGAAACTGAGGCTTAATGAGGTTGCAACATGAAAAAGAGAGTCAGGACTGATACCCGAGTCTGTAGGACGCTGAAACCACACTAGCAGCTCCCAGGCAGAGGCTACACCTCTGCACTCCCAGGGCAGTCTCAGACACTTAGAGCTGTGGCTGGCGTGTTATAGGCCCGTAATACATGTTTGTGAGCTGTGGGGTTAGATTTACTAACTAGTTTGAACAAGCTGACCTGAGAGTACATTCTCTTTGGCCAAAGGTTGCTCTGGGGATGGTGGTGTCTCAAAAGGCTCCTTTAAACGTTTACGCCTCTGTTGTGGTCTGAGATACACACCATGTTTCAGAGGCTTCAAAGAACCTGAGAAACGTAACATTGTGCAGAAGTTGCACAGGATCCAGCAAGACGTGGATGGCCTAGAAGGCAATGAAGTCAGAAATCTTCTTTCATTTCGAAACAAATCTCCGCGCCGTACCAAGTGAGCAGGTTAGAGGCCACCATCCCGCCAGCCATCAGAGCTCTTCACCTCTAACTACCCCTCTAACTACCCCGACCCTGACTCTCCCTTTTAGGCTCCTGGCCCCAGCTCTCTTACCTGGAGAAATGGACTCTCGTCTGTTCTGATGGCCTCCAGTTAGGTCCTGTGTTGAACACCTAAACCCTTTCATGTGCATGCTTCCCCTTGGCAGTACGTGCTACAATGTTCTCTAGTGTGTGGCTAGAGGGTTCGAGGTTGGGTAAGCAGCTGGGAGGAGCAGGAGA